TTGACATCACTCACAGCTACGGCCACTCAGTCACATGACCACCCTACCTAGCCATGCCCACAGAAAAAGGTAGGAAATTGTTTTGAATTTCTACCTATCTACTTATTTTCTGCCTAGGCCTGGCCTAATCTATCAAAGGCCTCCTCCTGCATGCCGCCCTGCCCTCCCTTCATCAGTCACACGTGTCACCACATTTCCCCTCCTTCAGCCCTAATCCCGCTTCCTTCCCCACCACCACCTCTTTCTTTGGGCTGCTTACCTTCCTCCCGTGGTGGCTGGTCCGGAGTCCGGAAGGCAAGCTGACCTCCGGTAGCTTTTGGTGGCCTCCAGCCAACCGTCGCTGCCATGAAGCAGCTCTCAAAGAGGCAGCAGCTGGGAGGCTTCTCGCAGTCACATCGAAAAAGAAAAAGCCTCCCAGCTGCTGCCTTTTTGAGAGCTTGTAAACTGTTGCGGCAGCTGGCCGCAGGCTGCCGAAAGCTACTGGAGGTCGCCGAAAAAGCCGTGTCATCACTAGAGGGACCCAAAGATACCTGTGCCCCATTGCAGTGTTCCCTGCTAATAGTGAGGTTGGTGCTGGCAGTTTTGATATACTTTGGCCATTATATCACAAGGGCAACCAAAGCCCAATTTTAATATTTCAAGGATGCTCACACTATTTTGCGCAAGTTGGATCTCTAATCTGGAGAGTACTTTGCAAGGCAGCGTTTTTTTCCAAACCCCACCAGTTAGAAGGAACATACACTGAGGACACTTCTGTCATTCAGCATGCTTCATTTACTGCTTTCACTTAAGATACTTCTGTTATTTCTGATACAGAAAATGATTTTGTCAGTTGTGCACAAAATTTCTCATCTGAAATACTACATGTTCTATTTGCTGTTCGCTGGGAAAATATTTGCAGTTAAACCGTAGGCATTCTCACAAACACTTCTAAAATATGTATTGTGGGCATTTTAATGCTTTTCTTAAAGGGTGGATTTAGGGTAACAATTTTTTCTTTAGGAGGTAGCATTTTGATGCATAGTTTTTGCTAACATATTTGTTTGGATTATATTTTCATTTATGTACTAATTTTTGAGTTGCCAAACACATTACAAAATTGTGAAGATGTAATTTTGGGTATGCAACAAAGGCTAGCAAATCCAAATGGTATATTTGACTACAAACTTCTGATAGGTTTCTAATCAATCCTAAGAATCACCATCAATAAGATTGTACATGGTCGATAGCATGCGTGTCAGTGGCTCCTGATTCTTCCTATCAGATGATCCAACATCCAACTCATGTACATAAAGATTTGACCAATCGTTGAATGTGTAGCTATATAGGAGTATTGCCAGAAAAATCAACCAGAAATTATTAGGCGCCACGGAAATCAGAAGATTCAGGCAGTTCAGATGAGTATAAAGATTTATTGCAAGCTTGAGCTCTCTACAAGAAACTGAACTATTAGCAGTCAAGGGAAAAGAGTAGGAGTTAAGAAAGTCCAATTCAAGTTGGACTGGACTTACATCTCTTGTGGGCTCACAGGGACTCATGACTGATGACACATTTGACCCCTCCCTCAGGCTCAGCCTGGTCAACTCCTACAGAAATGCTTTCTTTAACTGATCAAAGAACTGTAGGTTAGGTTGGAAGAATAGAACTAGCCAAGACAAGTTTTTAATTCCTTTTTACACATAGTAATGAAGAAGAGAACAGAATAACAGAATTGAAAGGGAACTTGTAGGTCTTCTAGTCCAGTGTTTCCCAAACTTGGCTATTTTAAGATGCATGGACTTCAATTCCCAGAATTCCCCAACCAGTATGCCTGGTTGAGGAATTCTGGGAGTTGAAGTCCATACATCTTCAAAGGGTCAAGTTTGGGAAACACTGTTCTAGTCCAACTCCCTGCTCAAGCAGGAGACCCTATACTAGTGATGGCGAACCTTTTTTCCCTCGGGTGCCAAAAGCAAGTGTGTACACGAAATAGTGCACGTGCCCACGCCCATAATCAATGCTCTCTGCACATGTGCGCACGACCCCCTGTGCATGCGCGCATGACCCCCGTGCCCCATTTTGGGCCTAGCAGGCCTCCCTGAAGCCTCTGGAGGCTGGAAAAGGCTTTCTTGGAACCTGGGGAGGTGGGGGAGGCAACGACCTCCCCCACCCGAGGCCCTCCAGAGGCTGAAAACGGCCTCCCAGAGCCTCCACACAAGCCCTGTACTTACCTGGCATCCAAAACGGGCCTAATGGAGACTCCTGGGAGGGGAGGGGCGGCATGGAAGGGGCCAGCCGAAAATCAGCTGGCTGGCGTGCGCAAGCACACTGGAGCCGAGCTAGGGCAACGGCTCGTGTGCCCACACAATATGGCACGTGTGCCACACCTGTGGCACACGTGCCATAGGTTCGCTATCACGGCCCTATACAATTTCAGACAATTGGCTGCCCAATGTCTTCTTAAAAGCCTCCAGTGACGGAGCATCCACAACTTCTAAAGACAAGCCGTTCCACTGGTTTATTGTTCTCACCGTCATGAAATTTCTCCTTTGTTCTAGGTTGCTTCTTTCCTTAATTACAGTACATTTCCTGCTTTGTATCTTGAGTTTTTCCTTCCTTCCCATCTTCTTGTTTGACAGGTTATCTTGAGGTTTATGCTTGGAATTAGATCCTAAAGTTTGGTCACCCTCCCACCTCAGTTTTTGTTTGAAGCCCTTCAGATAAACTGATCTAGTCGTTTTCCAAATTCATCCTTCCCAGTTCTTGTGAGATGCAGCCCATCCCTTGCCAGAAGCCCTTCATGTATGTAATGCAGACTGTGATCTAATTCTAATGAATTAATTCTAATGAATTAATATTCATTACTCAGATTTATAGGCTGATTGAATGTTCCATCTCTGCAACAAGTGTTTTTTAATGTAAAAAAACCTCAATACTAATCATAAAAAATTCCTAATTCATCAAGAAAACATTTTTGCATAGTAAACAGTCACAGTGTCTAGGAGAGCTATCTTACTCGGGTTCCTGAAGACATCCTGATATAACAGACAATTGATGGCTTTCCTGAATTTGACATTATATAGATGATCTTGCCAATCAGCCTAAATATTTGTTTCCATGCCAAAAAATTATTAAGACATTACTTTTTCTGGATCTGGATCTGGAGCCCATTAAGCTGAATTTAATTAGGGCAAAACAAAATTCAGCTAGTATGTTTTAAGGCTGCCCCAACCCCAAACTGGGTAGACTTGCCAAAGTTTTAAAAACAAGAATGAATACTTTTTAAGTGTTGTATTGTGAATACTTTGTACTGCCAGGCAAGAAAAAGTAGACTCTTGACTCACAACTGTTGAAAATCAGGATGAAACTTAGCAATAGCGAAGGAGGAGAAACATAAGTTCCATAAAATATACAGAAACAGGTGGTAGTTTAATGTGATTGAGATAGAATCCCTGGGAGTTGGGCAGCTTGTAAATGGGCAGCATATCATACAGGGCAGGTATCACAAACTCCCCATAGCACATTGTTTCTGCCCCTGTCACACCAGAGGTAGAATGAATTACAGGCGCTCTTTTATATTGCAGGTTTTATATAACATTGTAAGAAAACCTTAAATTTTCCTTTCTCGCAGGAGTCCCCGGACAATCAGGCAGTTTCTGTGTTGATTTTCTGCTCACTGATAAGATTTTTATACAACCTACAGTGCACATTTTGTTACTTATCATCAAGGCTTTGGCAAGGGCTCTGTAGTAGGATTTAAGATGGATTGTTGTATATGCTTATTTGTGTTTTCTCTTGTTTTCTCTCTCCCTCCCTCTCTCTTTCTCTCTCTCTCTCTCTGTTGGTTAAATTGAAAGTTGAAATGAAATGGAATAGAAAGCCATGTTTAAAGTGACAGATTAAGGAACCTACAGGTATTCTTGACTTATGATCACAACTGGAACCAAAATTTTGGTTTCAAAGCAAGATTGTTGTTAATTGAATCATGCCTGACTTTAATATAGTTTGATATAGTTATTAAATGAATCCGGCTTCCCCCAAAGATTTTTCTTGTTGGAAACAGCTGGCAATGTTACTAAATGAATGGTTATAAGTTGAGAACTATCCATGTATTACAACTGGGATAACCTCTATTTAGCTACTATCTTTCACCTTAACTCGTGAGACTGAACTAATGCAAGAACAAAATGGGAGAGTATAGTGCCATATGTCACTTTGTGTTTCCTGGAAGGCAAGGCAAGCCAAGACAATTAAATTAACAAAAAATAAATATTTAGAGGAAACCACATGGGGCTTGCTTGTATGTTCAGTTACAACTCCCGTTGTTGCTAGTCAGAATGATCCACTATCATTGTCAGCTAAAGATGATAGTATCAAGGCTGACTTAAAAGATCTGGTGAAAAGGAAAATTGTGCACTGTAAGAAAATATTGATTTCATGTTCTGATCTCACAAAGGCCCCAGTGCTGGGATCAGTCAAAAGGAGGGAAGCAAGAGAAATAAGCAGAGAAACAACATGCTTGTAGGAACAACCAATTTCTTGTTGCACCAAGGACTTAGACATTCAGTGTTCTGTTTCCCCCATGGGTAGACTCAAACATTATTGCCTTTTCAAATTTCAGCAGTTTAGAGTTGCCTATTCCCTCCCTGGGATGAATCATTTGTCCTTATTGCAATGAAATGTAATACCAACTCCAGTATTGAACATCACATTTGCAGTCCATAAGGACATAAGCATCTTTGCAAAGATAATGTGTAAATGTTGCTTGCTTTCTTGTTTATTTTTCTGCCTAAATAAAATCCTTCAGTGGAACAACCTGGATGAATATTTTGGTTTATAGTATATGTGTATGCACGCACGCACACACACACACAAAAACACAGATACATACTCCCAGCGGTCCATACTTTTCCTGCTGCAAGACTATTTAGCTTTTATGTTGGTGGATATGAAAAAGAGGTGGTGGTGTTTACTTCAATTGCATAATTGGACCTTCAATGGTTTATGTGATCCTCATGCAGAAAGAAAAGAAAAGCGGCCTCTTGAAACTTCTAGCAGGAGCATCCACGAAAAAGAAATCCCGCTCTCCTCCCTCCATGTCTCCAACACACGATCCTATGGCAATAGTGGAAGGGATGCTGCAGGGCGCAATGGGACCTGAACTGTCCTCTCTCTCCAGCCACGGGAGGGCAGGATCGTGCCCTATCGAGAGTGAAATGCAAGGCGCAATGGAGATGGAGCCTCTGCACAGAAAGACGGGATCTTTGGATCTGAATTTTTCTATCCCTTCTCCCATAAGGCAACTGCCGCCTTCAATGGCAACCAGCCACCCAGAAGCTAAGCCGTTGAATCGAGAAAGGTAAGGCCTTAAGTGCCAATACGATGTTTCAACAGCAACGGTATATTTGCAGTTCGTTTCGGCTTTTTTTCCTATTATCAAAGCAAACCAATCAGAAATCTTCCAGAATGGAAAGCGAAGAGATTTATTCCCCCCCCCACTTTGTTTGCAATATTGAGGGTGGGGAGAATGATGAAAATAATCATGTCCCACTTGTGATCCTAAGAATGGAAGCTAATCCAGTATTTTGATTGCCAATCAAGTCCAAGTATAACCTCTAACTGAAATTATTTTAATTGTACTCAGGAAGCAGGATTTCCTCTAACTGATTTATTAATTAAATTAATTCATATTCTGAGTTGATGTGGTGGAATGTAGTGCAAAGTCGCAGTTGATCTTTATCCTTTAACAGTTGGTATATTTTTAATCAATAAGAGAAGAATATTAATTTCATCTTTTTGTGAGGAACTTAGTCTTGGAATTATTTGAGCAGCTATATTAATCTGGAAGTTCATTCCACATCCATTTGTTCTTATAAATATAGTCAAAGTGCCTTTTTAAAAATGTGTACCCAAAGCCTCATGTCCCATCTGGGGCACGTCTGATCCACTGATTGGCAGTGAAGAATCACTGCCAATTTACAACATGACACCAGTCACCACTAGATACACCCAAATACTCTGCATTTAGAAGTTTCATATTTCATTCATAAGTATCCTATCTAATTACTGGACTAACTCCAAATTACTGCCTTCCTTTATCTTTCAAAATAGACCCACCCAGACCAGATATAAAACAAAGATTGGAATCCAATTGAAAGAATTAAAGGGGACAAAGGCAAAGTGTACTGAATCTTTCTCTGTCTGCTACTCTTAATCTCATTACACATCTCTTCAAGCATTCTTCCACCATCTGGTTTTAACTCCAGAAGTGAATCTCTGGAACAAAGGTTCCTGGTGAATGGTCATGCAGGAAGATGAAATTAAGGAGAGCCTTCATTACTGTGAGGGAAGATGGCTTGTCCATCTCCCCTGATTGGCCCACAGCAGAAGTTGGGAAATATGTTTCCGTCTTTGATTTTGTCCTTGAGATGTTTCCTTACCTCCTTGTATATTGAATGAAGCTAAATTAGCTTCATTCAGGCTCCCCAGCTTAAACCCAGCAGAAACTTCCCAGCCGTTCAATACAGGAAGGCTATATAGAAATCTTTATTGCTTATTTCCATGAAGCCACTAGAAACCGACCAAAACGGTGTACCTTTGTTCCACCTTCCCCATAACTTCACAGATTTTTTTTTCCTTGTCCTTCTTGGCCTGAGAGCAGGTCAACAGCTGATAGTTGACAAAACTAACATCTTTGCTCTCAGAAACTTTGGTTTTCAATATTACTCCTAGCAGTAGTGGGATTGAAATCCCATCGCTACCAGTTTGCTTGTGGGTGCGTGCGTACATGCTCACACACACGCGCAACACTTCTGCACATATGCAGAGATGTCCGGGTGGGTGGGCAGAGCCTCCCACCACCGCCACTACCGGTTCGCCTGATCCGGGGCAAACCGGTATACAACTCACCACTGACTCTTAGAGCTTTCATTGGAATTAGAATTTTTTAAAAATACTTTCATTGTATTGGATATTTGAAATGGGAAATAAAAGACTTGGAACAGCTAAGACTGATCTGGAAACACGTTTGTCATACAAACTCATGTGCCAAATCTAGTCCTACTATTCATTACAAATAACAATAGCAATATGCTTTTTGAGATTTTCAAGCTTCAGCTTCTTTGTTTATTGTCACCTATATATGATACATTGATAAATCAAAACTAGATTGGTCATCCAGATGACCAGCATTTCAGTCTCCTAATACGCCACAGCCTAGGTTAAAATTCACTTCTAATAAATCCAGGCTATGAATTCAGACATTTGAGGTCATATAAACAGGATTATATGTATGTGTTTTTTAAAATCTAGGGCTGACAAAAAGCTGGCCTTTCTAGCCAATTCAGTACTGTCCACAGAGTCTGGTCAAATCTTCAAGAGGATGTCTATAATGGTGGAGTCAAATTTCTGACTATTGTTTATATAAGGATGTTGTTTGTTAAAAATATAAGCAATTACAGAAGAAGCCCTTAAAGGTTTTCATGACCAGAAACTGCTGTTATCTTTCGAACTTCTGCAACATATAATGCTGTCATACCAGTCGCTCTGCCTTCAGGTGTCTTTCTCGGCATGGCCACGTAATGCTATGACAGGAGTTGAGAGAGGCAAAACACAACAATAGCACTAGGATACGTCACCAGGATTGTTAGCTAGTCTGTTTGGTCTGGTTCATGAGGATCAATTTCTACTTCTTTAACATACATCTCTCTTTTTTTTCATTCTACATGGAATAAAACATAGGTTTTTAACCAGTATTGTAAAGCACAACTGAAAATGAGAGATTGCAGGAAGATTGTCAACAGTACTAGGGATGGAGAAGGATGTTGGGAAAATCAGAATGAGTGTCTGAGAGGTTGCTAAGAAGATCTTTTTCCTAGCCACAAGATGCTAGGAAGACAGGGGTCGGAGCAGGCCAGTGGGAAAAACTGGGAAGATGTAGCCTGAGTTGGAAGCCATTGGAGGAGTCGGCAGAGAAAATCAGGACAGGTCAGTGGGAAGATGTTAGAAAGATTAGGGGGAGTTAATAGGAGGACACTGAGATCAGAGAAGGTAACAACCAAACCAGTGGTTGCCTAATTTAGATAACAGCCATGTGTGTCATGCTCGCAAGCCTCTGGCAACTTTGTGCAATGAATCTGGAGTCATTGCTCAGGCAGCACGTGTCATCTTGAAGACTTGTATAAACATATCAACAGAACCGAGACAAGCCCCCTGGAAGTTTTTCCCTGTGAGAGCTGCTATAGATTGCCATAGAAATACCCCTGCTCTAGGTTAAGGACTGACATTGCATTAGCCTGGTTTGGCAAATCAGCAGAGCATTCTCCTGAGATTTAATCGCTAGTTATTTGTGCTATGTTTCGAACAAAAAAACAACACAAAGGGATATATAGTCAATATTTTTAAGAGACAAAATCTCATGTGTCTCTAAGTATGTATACATATATATGTATCACTTTACAGTTTCATCATTTGTTGATTGGAAATATGTCTAACCCTTCAGTGGAAATTTTGTTGTTAAGACTGATTTTCCATTTTTTTAAAAGCATTTGGGGAATCTGAATCAGTGTCAAGATTGTTGTATCAGTGCAATGCATATCAATCTGAAGAATTCTGGGAAAGAGAAGTTTACACATCCTTTTGCCAAAATGATACGGTCCAGTGAACTATGACTAACTTTCTCTCGTTTTGTTTATCCATATGGAGTTGCAAGATTAGTTGGTATTGTTCTAGCTAAAATTTCTGTAATGTAATAATGCAATTATCTGACACTTGTTTAAAATAATCCAAACACTTATTTATACGTGGTTGAAATTGGCAATGCACCCCAAATGTAAGAGGAGCAGCTCTGCTCTTCCTATCAATTTGATAGGAAATGTTATCTCCAGTCAAACAACATCTCTTGTGCCAAACTTTATTACATCTGTCCATATATATAAGGGAGGTGACAATCAGATTTGGGGGGGAGGGGCTTGCCAATTAATTTTAAATCAGAGTATAAATAAATACACATATGCAATCAACATTAAATATATTGCCAGATGAATAGAATAGAATAGAATAGAATAGAATAGAATAGAATAGAATAGAATAGAATAGAATAGAATAGAATAGAATAGAATAGAATAGAATAGAATAGAATAGAATAGAATTCTTTATTGGCCAAGTGTGATTGGACACACAAGGAATTTGTCTTTGGTGCATATGCTCTCAGTGTACATAAAAAGACAAGATACGTACAAGATACGTTTGTCAAGAATCATAAGGTACAACACTTAATGATAGTCATAGGGTACAAATAAGCAATTATGCCTGCATGGCAAGCTTTGAACACATAATCTGGCATGGTGTACTGATTCTTTTTTGCATTTCCTGCAATGGCAAGGTGGCAATGTTGCTGGCTAATCCTGAGCGGGTATGTTTCTGGGACTGCTAATGGCTGATGTTGACTTCCAGGCACAGAATAAATCAGTCATAAACATGTTGCTTTGTAAATGGATCTACAGTATCTGCAATAAGCTTTCTTTTCTTTTCTTTTCTTTTCTTTCCTGGAAGATACCGTGTGGTGGTCCCGTATCCCCCGCAGAGTGAAGCTGAGATTGAACTGAAGGAGGGTGACATTGTGTTCGTCCACAAGAAAAGGGAAGATGGTTGGTACAAAGGGACGTTACAGCGGAATGGCAGGTCAGGCCTTTTCCCCGGCAGCTTCGTGGAGAGCTTTTGAAGGCTTGGGTTGTGGACTTGAGGGACGTCCTGGAGGAAACGCTGGAGCACAAAACCATATAAAGCAGCAACAAAGGGAAAGTGCCATAATGGGAGCGAGCCATGATTATGATTTCCAAAGGCTCTATGATTGACCACCTGGAAACAAGGGGTCTGGCGGCGCTTTCAAACAGTACATACAGCAGTATGTTGGAGTCGTGCCTTCTACATGGAACAGATCAGAGATGGAGAGGACACACGTTAAAATCCAGCCAGTATATTTCATGTAAATGATAGAGGAATTATGTTTGGAAAAGAAAAGAAACGTGTTGTATCGCTGTAATTTATTTCTCTGAGCTGCAGTGTTCTTATTACTGGCCTAGAGAAGAGAAAGAGGGACTGGATTTAAGAGGGCAGCCAGGGAATGCTTGTTGTCTGTCCTCCAAATAATGGGCATATGCAGAAAATATTGCTCACATAGAAAGAACCAGAAGCCCAAAATATAATTTATTTCCACATATACCTCAAAAATACTCTATTCCATGTCCTCATGATGACATTCCCAGCCTGCTACCACAGCCCAAATTTGGCTTTCGTTGATTTGGTTTGGAAGTGGTGTTTCCTCCCATTCTCAGTCCAAAGCTGACCACCAAGAGTGATGAGGGGTTGATGCAGTCAGAGACAGCAATCTGCTTAGCTCCATTTGGCCCAGTAGATCTGCTGCAGAAATGCCTTTTGTAAGTGTTGTAAGAGATACCAGATACTTTGCGTGTGTAGCCTATTTCCGTGGGTTGTGGAGACTGGACTTGGGAACAGGTCTTCCAGGGAATGGCTATTTCCACATCCAAAACCCAAACCCATAAAAAGCATTGGAACTAACAGGACAGATGGGTTGTGGAGGGATATCTTGCTTTCAGTAGGATGTTCTAGAACAAGCTGTGCGAGAAGAACCGGGAGATAAAGAGGGCTATGGGCAACAGGGAAGCTCTTGCTCATCCCTGGCAAGGCAACATCTCCTGAACTGGGTATCAAATGCCCTTTTTGATGGGGGGAGCACATCACCTGGAAACGAGCAGTCAGCCAAATTTACTACAAAGCCAAACAAGGTGTGGGAATTTTCAGATGTTGGAGAAAATCTGGCCCAGACGGGGGTTGGAGCTGCGACTTCTGCCAGTGGAAAACAGCCTTCCATCTCTTTAGTAGTGACTGGCTGTTTGTCCTTCATTTTCTCCTGTATTTTGTTGCTAGTCCTTGTCCGTGCAGTACTGGGAAGAGAAGCAACCCTCTCCCTATGTGCAGAGGACATGGAGGCAGCAGAGGAACAGAAAAATCATTGGTCCAAGGAGCTGGAGGGTGAAGGGCCCAGCCTAGATGATTCAGCCTATTTAATCTAGTTGTCAATTGCAGAAACTCAGAGCAGCATCAACAGGTCAAAAGACCCTCCTGGGAGAAGGATCTGGGACTGCAAACAGAGCTTTCTTTGGACAACAAGTCCCATAAAGGCAAGCAGAGGGAAGCGGTTTCTTCCTCCACCTGTTGCTTCACCTAAGGCTTGACTGCTTGGAAAACCAGTCCTAGATCTTTGAGTCCCAGCTCCTATGATTCCCTTCCCTTGGCTTGGCTTGAACCTGTATGGAAAGTGCTTTCCCCCACCATTTACAAATGCTTAGTGGTGGGAAGGAGCAAAAGCCCAGGGCCACAGCTTTCAAAAATCCTGGTTGTTCTTGGCACAAGATTGAGGTTTTGATCTCCCATTTTCCAGAAGACTGAGAGATCAATATTCCCACTGTCTCCCTTTGACAGCTGTTGACACTTTGAGAAATCATGCTCAAAGAAGATCAATAGATTTGCCAGGAAAGAAAAAAATATCAGAGGAGCTGATTAGGGAGTACTGAAATCCCCAGTTCTGCCTCACTCAAATTTCGGAAAGTGATTGTGTTTGGACTTCCCACTAGTGGGAGAAGTCAAGGGGATGAGGGAAAGGGAGACAGGAATACACCAACAGCTGCAGTGAAACTGGGTCACAATACAGGGGGAAAGGTCAACGAACTGCCCTACCCTGAGATAAAGCCACTTGAGCTCATTGTGTATTCCTACTGCTTTAAGGAAGGGAGGAAAGTACATAAAAATGTCTAGATAAGCTGAATGAGTACCAATCAGAATCTACTTTTAGTTTGAGAGTCATCTTCCAGGGCTTCCAATTCCTTTCTTCTGTGCCTAATGAGCAGCTCATCACCAGTTCATATCAAAGCCCCTCCCTTTCCCCACATTAAAAATATGGCTAGGAAACCACCAGTATTGAACTGATACAGTTCTGTGCTATTTCATTTGTTCCAAAATACTTTTTGGCTCCTCTTTTAATATTCAATTTTGATTGGTGCTTTATTTTATCAGGATTTCAAAGAAAAGGAGGTTTTGTACAATATAATTTTCTAAGGTAAGAAAGGTAGTCCTGATAGTCCTTGTAAGTAAAGGACTTCTTTACAAATAGGGAGCAGTTTTTAGAATGTCTTTAAAAGACACCTATTTGGAAATTATTGTTGTAGAGATAATTGTTATGTCTGGTACTTCACTCTGAAGTACCAGTGTAGGGAATTAGTAATCCTCCTGAGGTTTTGCAGATATTGGTAAATTATAGCTTTTAACATCTCATGTTATTGGACGTGCTTTCTAATTGTAGTTCAACATCTGCATGACCATTGGCTCATTGCTCCTGATAAATACAGACAAGCAAACTTTTCCCTTGGATAGTACATCCATGAGTTGCGTGAATCAGGTTTCATAATGAAGATGCAGGGTCCTGGATGCACCTTGACTTGCTTCAGGCCTGAGAAAAACACCTCCTTTTTATGCAGAAGAGAAGCCCTGGATTCTAATCAACCTAATGGGGTAATATGAGACAACCAGGGCAAGACACCAAATTTTTAAGTTAATTCCTAAGGAGTGGAAGGAAAGTAATTCCTAATCACTTCAGCAAGAAATCTCATTGAGCTATAATAAAGGATGGTATATAGAAGGCAGAAGGAATCTCTGATCCATAGGGCAAATAAAAATCTTTGCCCTGTGTCTGGGCCTTGCCTCTAGCTCTAGTGCAGTCCACTTTCTACATCCACCATGGACTCACCCCAGGAATAGGCTAAAGTTAGGGAAGCCAAAGCCAAAAAGAAGCTTCACAGTAGGTCTGCCTCAGTTGATGCTCCCTTGAAAAAGATACATCTTCTGCCGTCACTTTTGTTCCCCTCCTAACATTTTCCTGCAAATGGAGGGTCCTTTTTTTTTTTCAGATCAACCGAATGTTGTTCTATTGGCTGTTTCAGGGATTGACCAACCAACTTGTCACCCAAACCTGACATTCATGCAATTCGTGTTGCAACCAATGGGTCAACATTCAGTTGATATGGAAAAAAAAAGGCAGACCTTGCACTTCTGCAGAAATACTAGAAGGGGAGAAGAATAGGAAAATATGCATTAAGCTAAGAGGGGTCCAAAAGGCTAAGATGGCAAATGTAATTACACAATCAAAGCTCCATACTTTTGTATATGAGTCAATATAATGCATCTATATCAGTGGTGGGTTGTCCCCGGTTCACACCAGTTCTAAAGAACCAGTAGTAAAACAGGTGGGAGGCTCCGCCCACTGATCCTGACATCATTAAAATGCTTCTGCACATGCGAGCGAAGCGAGCACACGCACGCGGCCCCATTGCGAACCGGTAATAAGTAGAACCCACCCCTGATCTATATAAAGAGATGGGACTTCTGTCACACAATTACATGTGCCATCTTGCAGACTTTTCAGTGAGGAGGCATTGACAGCACAACCCTAGCTGCTCCAAAGCATCTTGTCTCACCTTCTTGGCATCTTCTGAACTCAAAACATGTATTTTTGTGGAATCTCCTGGCTACCATTCAAGTTAAGGAGAAGATGCAGCTTCTTTAAAGGATTGTCAAGAAGTGTGCCTCCTAAAGGGACTTTTTGTTTCAATCGAAATCCAAGCACATCTTGTTGCTCTGATTAAATTAGGAGCTATTTTTTCCCAACAAAAGTTTAACATTGCCAGTTGGGACTGCTAATAGCTGCAGGGGAAAACAGACATAGGATATTGCTGGAGAATAATCTGTCTTCCCAGTAATCCTGATCCATCTCAGGGACTCCACCTTTCAGGCTGCAATCAGGTTTTAAAAAGGATTTCTGTTGTTTGCTCAAGGAGGCTGTTTTTCAAAATTCTAGTTGCAATTCAAAGCAAGAATTCCAAAGAAAGAGATTGGCTACCAAACATTGCTACTACTCTTTCAATATCATTCTTCCAAGTTACAGTGAGACTTCAAAATGGTTTCCATAGATCAGGCAGAGACTATTTTAAAGCTTCTCCTATTACAGTGGGGAACCATTTCTGGAATGATAGGAGTGCAATTCCAGGAAAAGCAGCTAGTTGCACTTGACCAATAGTTACCCACCCATTTTGGGATCAGCTGTATCCTGTCTCAATTTGTCTAATAGGATTTCTTCTGCCCAATAAATACCTGTTTCCCATTTCTTCTGCAAAGCTACATTGTGAGATTTAGCAGAAGATACCTGGTGTATCTGGATTCAGCCTATTCTTTGCTAAAAGAATATCTTCATAAACTCAGTTTTTATTTCTCTAGGAATTTTTTATCAGTTCTAGGAGCTAGTGTCAGATTTTGGAAGATCCAACACTGTGGAGATCCTAATGCTTAACCAAATGGGTGGGAAAATCTTCTGGAATACTGTTAAATACCACAAGGTCCTCTCTCTTACAATAATATATGGAAGGTCTCATGAAAGCATGGTGTTCCATCTAGATCAGAGGTCTTCAAACTTGGCAGCTTTAAGACTTGTGGACTTTGACTCCCAGAATTCTGGGAGTTGAATAGCTGGCTGGAGAATTCTGGGAGTTGAAGTTCACAAGTCTTAAAGCTGCCAAGTTTGAAGACCTCTGATCTAGATGGATGGTGATTTCTGGAGAATGGGAAACTTTTCCAGGACAATTCTCTTTAATTGGCTTCTACTTGGCAATAAAAAGAACACTGCAGTCTCCCACAAGCACAGAGCATTGCAATTTTTCTTACTCTCTGTTTTACCATCAGAGCAAAAGATAACATATGATTTGTTATTGTAAAAATGTATCATTCTAAACAGTATTTAGTTTTGTAACCCAGCTCAAGCCACAACATTTCAGGCAACAGAAGCTTCCTATAACCAGAAACCTAAAGGTGCAATAAATAGGGAGCCAAGAAATAAACCTACAAGTTGGCTGGTGACATTGCTAACATTTTTTAAGAGTGGAAGAATATTTTTAGTCATGTATGTGCTATGTTTCATTTA